TTATGATTTTATGCAGTCACAACAGTAGCATATGCATTTGTGTTCATCACAATCCCTGTACCATCCAACATCATAGCACTACTTTTTGTGCAATCTGAACAACTCTCTGCCACAAACCTTGTAAACTATGAACAAAAAATCAATACAGTATCACAAAGTATAATATCTCAATCCTCAAGTGTATCGATATCTTCTTACACCTCTAGTTGGAAACAGATGTTCAGGGCTGGTTGTCAGTCGTGACCTTAAAATGCCTCTGTTTCCTGTTTCATAAGCACTGTGCTCTGTGCTACAGCTCTCTGACAGTTTAATGATGGAGAGAACAGTCTGGGGCCGATCTGCCGCAACAGCTTGTCACTAGAGGAATCTGAGGTCCCTGCGTGGGAGGTGCCGAATCAACCCAAGTGAAAACAGTAGCACATTAGATTAGATTAACTAAAGAGAGACACATTTGGTGTCCATATTGCTTTGGGTCTAGGAGATTATTGCTTGGTGTACAAAAGGTTAAGTGGAATTAGGCAGAGCCAGGCCAAACAGCAAAGACAACTTTGTGTTTTCAGCCAAGGTACCGGCGGTAGACGGCAATGTCAGTTGTCTGTCCACTACTTTGGTCCAGGACTACTATCGGTTGGATTGCCATGACATTTTGTACAGTCATGGTTCCCAGATGATGAATGTCAATGTCTTGTTTGATCCTCTGGATTTTTAATTGTGCCACCAGCAGGATTACTTACTTGGTTTTGACTGGCATATCTCAACAGGGATTACCAAAGAGAGATTTCCATAATTCATATTCCCCAGTGGATATGACTTTGGGGATCTCCAGACAGTTTTCACTTCTGCTATGAAATATCTCCACATCTGTAACATGAATCTGTCATTCATGTTTTCCAGATGATAAGTCTTCGTGACTTGATGATCCCCTGACTTTTCACCTCAGTGTTACCAGCATGTTGACATTTTTGATTCAGGGGAAAATGTTGGAATGGGATTTGGTACAGATATTTGTGTTCTCCACAGTAATAACTTTGGTGTTTCGCTGACTTTTCATCTAGTGGCATCATCTGGTCAACATTTAAATTTGCATAAGTAATGCCATTCCCATCAGCCTCACTGGTGTGCAGACATTAGCATATAACTCGTAGCATTGCTGTGCCTAAGTTCAACCTCACAGAGCTACTTGTGTGGCCATTATCACAAATCAATTTGCCTCAGGGGGCTTTAACGTCCTTTGTCCGCATCGGATGAGGAAAAACTCCCCCCAGAAAACCTTTAACAGGGAGCAAAACATAAATTCAAATAATATAATCAGCTCTCTTAATCCCCCCCCCCCAGCCTCGGGCGTCCAGCTCCATGCAGCCGGCCACAGCTGATTTGCTGTCGCCCCGCCAGAGTCAAAGACAGATGGTAAACAGTGTTGACTAGGTGTGAGAAACAAGCTGGCATCCTGCTAATTTGATCGTCACCGCGAGGCCCTCTGCACCGCTCCCTCTATGACTTCTCTGTCCCGTGTTCCTCCTTCACCAAAGTGGCAATACGACTTCAGCAATGAGCTCACGGTGCTGTGCTGAAGGAGCCCGGCTGTAACAATGTCAACAACAGCTGCACTGATCAGATATTGATGATTGAATTGCGAAGAGAACATCCTGTCGGTTTACAATGTTGATGCCTCTCCTTATTTAATCACACCAGGTGGAAATTAATCATTTTCCCTGCATCTCGTTTAGAAGAGAGTCAACCTCTTGCACTTACATTGGTGTGTCTGACAGTAAAATACATTATCTTAATGAATTGATCGCCAAGGAGAGGGACATGTTGGGTTGCTCTTTGGAGAGCTGCACTTCACACTCAGCAGGACTTCCCCTCCGGTGCTGCGGAGTGATAGACACACTCAAAGGACAAGGAGAAGGTGATGCTGGCTCTTCTTTTTGTAGTTTTGGCCATCAATCCTTTTTCCTTGTTACAGTTAATCGCTAAGTTCTGTGAATGCAGCGGCATTGCTAGGGCTGTACCCGAATCAGGATTTTAAAAAATTCACATTGAATTAGGCTATACGTTTACCAAAACGTATACCAAAAATATTTTCTCAAAGGGTTGAGTCAGTGCAGTCTGCGGGGTGGATTTAATTCAGGGACGACTGCTCTGAGACTCTAGCCCCGCCCAGCTCCTTTCCTCTGTGGTCGTGCACCGCAGACGGCTCTAGGCCGGCCTGGCAATCCAAAGTTGAGTGATTTTCACTGACGACGTTAACTCACATGCCCTCACCCAGTCGCCTAGTGTCAGCCGGTCAACCGGTGTTAATTTCGCTAACAAAAACTAGACCAATTGTGTTCGTCAACAACTCTTTTTTCCCGATGAGGTGAAGATAAGGTGATGACGAGACCGACAGCATTAAACATTAACTGCGTCCGAATCAACATGCAATTGTTGACAAAAAGACTAGAACAAAATGTAGTTAAAAATATATAAATCTCTCCTGGGCCCGTCACATCAAGACTACAGTGGCGGCACACAATGAGCACAGTCAGGAGGCCTCGGACTAACTGACTTACTTAAGTTTAATTGAGTTAACATTGACAACAACCAAATGTTCAATATAATCTGATGCCTAAAGAAGGCTGAAATGTCAAAAGTTTTCATTGACGAAAAACAATACCAAAATAGTTACGTGTTCTTAAGATGAAAGATGAGATGCTTTGACTTTTAGTCAACTAAAACTTGACTAAAAACACAGGACGAGGTGATAAAAACAAACAAGGAGGACATTGGACACAGGACTAAGACAAAAACAAAATAGTGGATTTCCATCACTATTTTGATCAACAAAGAACAGTTCAAACACTCCACGGTGGGGACCGCTTGTTAAGATTGTCTGGTCTGACTGTTCCTGCTCCGTTACACATTAGTTTGGTAAATACAATGTTATCAGGACCGATAGAAATGGTGGCCAAAACGGCAAGATTGATTAATAACCAGTTGTGGTCCTTGCGGAGCTGTGCACTCTGCAGCAACACTAGCATAAACTCCCACGATTACTGACTTTACAACAACAATAAAGTTAGGGTCAGAGGTCATATCTCGACAACGGATGCAACTAAATACTTATTTTCCGCCACAATAATGCATTGTTGAGACATATAAGGGAGATAAACACAAACATTTCTATTTATTTTCTCTATCTGCTCATTTCACACTGCAGGAGCTCGACAATTCAGTCTCACACTGAAAATGCAGAGTTGAACAATGAAACAACTGGGAATGAATGCTTCCGGAGGGAAAATAAATCTAAGATAAGAGTTGTTTTGTTTCCCAGGCTGCTGCTGCTGCTGCTGCTGCTATAGCACCTCCTCGTGCTGCTGCTGATGTTTGGCGACGATGCTTCTGTTTCTTCACAGAATTTAGGGTGATCAATCGTTTACAGCAGCGGTGCACCCTTACTAAAGCAGGCAGTGGGCCCAACATTTGCATAAGCTGATAGAGCTCTCAAAGCCGCTCATGTATGTTGTTTGTCCTGTAGAATCTGAAGATGCTCTCAAACTCATTCCAAGACTGAGGAGGAGAGCGTCGGTAGTGAATCATTTATATTCCTAGACGCAGACATTGCCCCCTGACATGTTTTATCCTCCTCCAGTCAGTCTGTGGCCTCTGGGCTGCGGTCCCTCACAGCCTCACCTCACAAGAGGTGAGGCTAAAATGCTAAAGATTAAAAGAAAGTCTGCAACTTAAAAGTCATCCTGTTGTCATCACAAGTAATATCAGTACAGGAAGGCCAAAGGGGTGCTTGAGGTTCATCAGCGAAATGCACCACTGTGATCACCAGCTGGTCACTAACTTTGTCCGACTGCTGTTTGGTGCTCGGCAGTGCACTGCAGACAATCGTGTGAGGTGAGCAAGAAGTTGCAGGCCTTCAAACCAAAACAATTTACAAGGTCTTTCACGGCACATGGTGTTGCACTAGGGTGACCAGATGTCCGGATTTAGGCCGGACAGTCCGGATTTTCGATGCCCTGTCCGGCGTCCGGCGCAGCATCAAGCCGGACACGTATTTGTCCTCCTTTTTGGAGTTCCACTGGGCCTAAAGAGCCGCACGATAGAATATTTTGCTGGAACGCAGTCTAACAAATGATTGGTTAAAAGCGTTGTCAAATAAATATCTGATAGGCTTAGGTTAGGTTCTAGCCCTATATCATTGGTTAAAAACGTAAACAAGGCTCCGTGTGCTGGCTACGTCATATCTACGCACTGAGGCCGACTGACCTCAATCATCAGAAACCGACGTCGCTTCACGTGACGCTTCAGAGGAAAGGACGTCTCATGTCTGTTGAAACATATCTCCTCGCGTCTTCTCTCCTCTCCATTTGTGTCTGTACATGATCACTGTACAGAATTGTTTTCTGGTCATGGCCGTTTTCAGCGAACATTCCCTTAAACATGCACTTTAAATATCGATTAAAAAAAAGATCGTATGTTTTCAGTTGATTTAATGGTGTTAAACTACTACTTATATTAATAAAGACACAGTTATCATCACTGTCAGTGTGGAGATGTTTTCTCTGTAGTCTGTTACCTGTTAAACAAACTGCATTGAGTATTTTTATACGTGTGTGGTATTTATACACAGTGTGTGTATTTATACTGTGTTCTGTGTCCTGCTTATACGCGCAGCATCGTTTCTACCGGTGGAATGCGTCTTATTTATTAATTATTTACTTCGGTATGTTTTTAAATTCTGATTGTGAAGTCATTATAAAATAACCCACAATGATTATGGTTTCTCTTCATTACATGTTGTAAAAAGTGTTTCCTCTCTCCAGCTCAATGATTTTAATTACATAATACAAGTTATTTAGGGAAACAACAGATCAAATCTTTTTATCAATGAAGAAAGTTGTTTGAGGTCTTTTGTTGTTCAGACTACAATGAACATATATTAACCAGATGGTGAATCAGAAAGCAGATCTAATATATAACTTGAGTTTAATCTGTGATCGTCTTCACTGTGGTATGAAACTCCAGCGTCAGACCGCTCAGCTGCAGCGTCCAATCAAATAACAAATCAACAGTGAGGGGGCGTGTCCAGCGTGCTCGTGGCTCCTCCGATTTGGGATGCACCCATAGAAGAAAACATGCCAAAACGTCAGACGTCGTTCAACCCAGAATGGACCAAAGAACATGGTTTTATTTCAAAAAGCAGTCGAGACTCCTTTCATGGCTTCTGCACTCTCTGTTGCTGTGATGTTGACATAAGCAGTCAGGGTAAAGCTGCCATTGAAAGACATGCGGGAACAGAGAAGCATAAAGGTAACAGACGTGCAGCAGGTGTCTCTTCACTCAAAACATTTTTTCGAGAAGCTACGTCGCCATTGGATGACAAAATCTCCGCTGCTGAGCTGTATAAGGTTTACCATGCTGTAAAGCACCACCAGTCGTACCGGGGTGTAGACTGCAGCGTGAAGGTGGACCGAGAGATATTTTGTGATTCGCCCATAGCTAAGGGGATGGCGTGTGGCCGAACTAAAGCCCAGGCATTGTGTGCGAATGTCCTAGCGCCCTACTCTGTACAGGTACATACAGATTACATCAAAGCAAACAATTTGCCCTTTTCAGTGGCAACCGACGCATCAAACAAAGGTACAACCAAGTGTTTCCCAATTGTGCTGAGATATTTGCACTTTGAGGAAGGTGTACAAAATGCCCTGTTGGATTTTTACAGTGACAGCAACTAAACTTCAGAGGCTATAACAAACCAGCTGCTGGTTAAACTGGAGATGTCTGGTCTAGATGTGAAATACATGTCTGCATATGTAGCAGACAACGGCAGTGTCAACTATGGAAAACACAACAGTGTTTATCAGAAGTTGAAACTGACTCAGAAGGATGTGCTACCTGCAAACTGTTTAGCCCATATTCTGCACAATGCAACACGATATGCAGCAGGCAGCCTGGATTTTGATGTTGAAAATGCTGTGCTCAAGGTTTACAGCCATTTTAGCATCTCAGCAAGCAGAACAGCACAGTTGAAGGAATTCTGTGAGTTTGTGGAAGCGGAAGAATGCAATCTGCTGCGGCATGTCGTCACAAGGTGGTTGTCCCTGCTTCCATCTATTGACAGAATGCTGAAGTATTGGAAGCCACTGACCAGCTACTTTCAGAGTGAAGGTGAGGAGGAATGCACCAAGATTTTGTGGAAATGTTTTGGAGAGGAAAGCACTGAAGTGTCTGAGACATATTTTCTTTTCCTCAGTCACATTCTAAAGGTGTTTTCAGACAGCATTGAAGCACTTGAGGCCAAATCATTCAGCATTACATCTGTGTTCAAGCTGATGACTGAATTGAAACAGAAACTTGAGAGAAGGCTGAAGGACAGGTTCTTTGGCTTTACTGTGAACAGCAAACTCAAGCAGCTACCAGCTTACCTTGCAAAGAAATGTGAGACATATTTTCTTGTTTTCTGTGAAAGAGCAAAGAAATACATAAGTGACAGATACGACTTCTCTGAGACCAGCTTTCATAGCAAAGTGGCAAAGCTTGGTCTCACAACTGCTGTGCCATATGAAGAATACAGTGATGCTATCCAGGCCTGCAATCTGACATCTGAATCAAGACATTGATGTGGATGGACTGTATGAGGAATATGCCATGGTGGAAGCTTCCTTCAGCTCTCCAAAAATGGAAGGTTGCCACAGTGAGGAGCGATATCTGAAACTGTTTTCCAAAGCAGATGTACCACTCGTGAATCTCAGGAAGGTCAGCGCCTACATTTTCTCCATCCCATGCAGCAATGCACACACAGAACGAGTCTTTTCAATGATGACATCTGCATGGAGAAACGAGAGGAATCGGCTGGAGGTGGACAGTGTCAAGGCTGAGCTGCAAGTTTGTGTCAATTTCACCTTTCCCTGCACAGACGTGTACAAGAAGTTCCTTGGAGACAAAAAACTCTTGGATGCAGCAAGGAAAAATCTGAAGTATTGCAAATAGAGAATCAACTATTTGGTGAGTACACTAGTCTTATGTTTTATTTCCCAAACAGACATACACTATGTTGTGTCGGTGGCATCCACTTGATATTATGCAGTTTGTTTGCTGTGTATTTAATTGAGCAAATATAGGCTACTAATTTCCTGTAGGAAGCTCTTAAGCCAAATTGATTTCTAATGCAGCATTTTGATTTTATGAATGGGCTACATATAATATGAATATTCATTGGATTTAAAACAATACAGATTTTTGAATGCTGATAACAGTATTGTTGCTTTGTTATGTGTCCCTGCAGGAGATGAACAGGCCCAGGCGCGGTGGGGGCTTGGCGACCATGATGACCGAGGTGCTGTTGAGCTTCTGCTGAGGGTGAAGGTGGAGTTTGCTTGAATACAAGTGGACTGCTGCACACATACACAGATGAAGACACTGCACACAAGTCCCCAATAGACTGAATCACTTTAGAAATTCTTTACTTTTTGAGCCATTAAATGTTAACCAAATTTGTTTGGTTTTCTTTATGCTTTTAAAACATTAATTTATCTGTTTATTATTTATTATTTATGTGACCTGTGATTTAATTTGTACATTTTAAGACCACAAATGTTATGCTTTGTGGCACTCAGCACAGTGGTCAGTTTTTGAACACCACAATGGATTGAATAAATACAAATACTGTGAACAAACACTTTTTGACTCTTTCAGAGTCAAAAAGTTACACATACACATACATCATGTAGCAATCACACAAAGTTGTATTGTAGAGGGGAGCACGCCAGAGTCCTATGCAATTATTCACAGCTTCACTAAATACCGCAGAGTGTCCTCCTTTTTGGTGTTATGGATCTGGTCACCCTATGTTGCACGCCGTTACCTGGTAGTGGTGGGGGGGTTGCGGCTCTCATGTCAACCAAATCCACGTTTACCCAGAAATCAAAAAACGAATTAAGTATTTTCATCGCTAACGGAGCTAACAAAGCTAACAGCGCTAACAGTGCAATCTACAGCGGAAGTGCTGACAGAGCTAACTGTGTCTACCTGAGGGGGACCCGGAGGGGGGGGGGGGTCGTTTGCAGCTATGTCAATGTTAGGAATGTGAAATAGAGGTCCTTTCATGACTAGAGAGGCTGCTTTCAGTTATTGCAAACATTTCCATGCAACGCTGCCCTGCATATCGTTTAGAGCGTTGTTTGCGTACATAGTCAGTGTACGTAAGCTAGTATATCTCCAGCCTCAGGCGGACGACGGAGGCTACAATTATAACTTGAAAGCGTCTGCTCTCGACAGCGGCAGAGTCGCAGCACAGAGCAGCGACGTGCCAGGAGATTTGGCGTTCTAGTTGTAGTGCGGACCTGATCGCGGCTACTCCAGAACAAATGCTTTTGATCCAACCAGAAGCGCTGCTGTCGCAAACGTCGCGCGACGCGAACACGAGGCTCCTGGGTGAAAGTCGTAAGTCGTGAAAGTAGGTCACTCGCTCTTCCTTTCGTTGAGCGTAGCGCGTTATTCTACATCACTAGCACTGAGCGTAGCATATTCACGCAGATGGGTTTATGTCACAGAGCGACGTTGTGATAGCATACGAATCGACTGAAGAAAATGGCGAGTCAATCACTCGCCATGTTGGTGAAACCAGGCGGGCAACATTCTTCCAACGTTGAAGATGAAAGCGAGGGCTCTACAGACAGTCTTCGATCAACATCTTTGCTTCTAAAATGTTCTGTGTAATTGGCAACACTGGTGATGTCATTAAATGTCCTCACCCTGACTTTCCTACAATTAGCTGAAGGACGCTGAAGAGATGGTGATAATTCTCTGTCACTACAATCGACTCCTTTCAGATAATGCACCGCGGACAGAAGAAGAGGAGAGATGAAATAATGATGAGATGTAGATTATCCATCCCCGGGGGGAGGGGGAGGAGTTATTTTTATCATCTGCAGTTTTTACTAAAATATATGAGCACGTCATGAGCAAAAGAAGAGATACATGTGGTCACTTCTGTTGTTGTTGGTGTGTGTTTGTGTGTGAGAGCAGAGGTGAAGATGTACGCGTCTCCTCCATTCATTGAAGCCGGTGAGGACAGGTTGCTGTGGTGAAATGTCACGCAGGAGAAGCGCCTCGCCTTTCCAGGGTTGCACGCAGGCTTATGTGCATACCTGCAAATAGCCTTCCTTCCGAGAGAGTGTTTTTGTGCCAGCGGGCACATTCTCACACCTCAACGAGCAGAGCCAGGAAGAGTTTGAGCATGCTGACATTTTTTGCACTTCAATCTGTCTTGAAAAGGACCAAGGTTTGGCACGTCTCACTCTCTAGGCCACAGGGCAAAGCAGTACTGTTTGGTGACAGAAAAGTGCCACAGTGTTCAGGTTATTTCTTTTTTTTTTTACTTCAAAAGGGTCCAAATAATAGTAGTTTGACTGTATGCCGCAATGCCAGTTGGACTTTATTTTTGTTGTAATGCTTGTATTTCTGTAAAAAGATAATTGCTGTATTTCTTCAGTGAAGGGTAAATTATACAGATGCAATTGATTAAATAGTTTTCTGTACCATTTGACATAATGAAGTGGAAAATAGAGCCTAATTTAAAAGAATACAGCAATTATCATAAAACATTGTTTTTATAAATTAATGAATTTCTTCTTTATTTTTGCAGGGGGACATTATGATTTATAATGACCTTATTTATGTTTGTTTTTCAAATAAGACGTTAACTAGAAAAATGGATGTGTACTGTGTCCCATCTGTGCGATTAAAAAGTATTTCATTCTTCACAAAGAAATTATGTTTTAGAGACATTTTTTAAGTTTGAAGCACATTTCGATGATTATCCGGAGAGCATCGTGAGTCACAATCATTTTGGCCATGATGATGGTCACACATTCACTGATATCACTTTAGCAGCTTCATCACTTAAAGCTGCCAAAGTGATATAAGTGAAAAAAAACTATTTAAAAGTAAACTTTCAAATTTGTTGATGTCACACATTTGTCCTCGACTTGAAGACTATGCTGTAATATCTTATGTTTTGTGTAATTTTTATTGCACCTGTAGCTCTTAGCAGAAAACATGTTGGAAGTGGCACCGACCCACGTAACGCACCATTTATGTATTTATGAAAGTGCGTCGCAGTATGTCTCCTGTGCACTGCCTCAGCTACCAGCTGTGTGCGCTTGTGAAGATGATTTGGTCCCATTTAGTTTGAAAGAATATTTCAAAGTTTCATTTTTAATGAGAAATAGAACAGACCACAACAACATTCAGCATCGTCTTATAAAAGCTCTTTCCTCCCGGCCAATGTGTCTCTGCTCTCAGCGAAGAATATTGTTTTTTTAAACCTACACGACTGCAGTTCTCATCTGCGCTGCTTCCTAATGAGCCTGCATAAGTGAGGATGCGTCGAGCCGGACTGCATCCAAATATGAAATGTGAGCCCCCTGATGGAAGCGGGGGCTGAATTAGTAATAGAAAGCAGAGATGGCTCGGCTGTGTCTGTGGAGAAGGGCAACAAAAGCTCTCAGCAGCCGTCGCTCTCTGAATCCCCAACATTCTTCGACGCAAGTTCATTGCGCATTAATGAATTTCCAGGAAAAGAAAACTGTTCTGTCATTGTTATTCATTCATCATCCTAAAGTATAACTTCTGCTTGTAAGTTTTAGTGCAATGTTTGATATGAAATGTTTTTTTCTGACTCATTGCTGCTCAGCATCTGTCACTAACTGAAATGCATGAGGTGATGAAATATTGATTGACAACGATGAAGGTACAACATGAGATTATTGTTTACTTGCTCTATTACATCTTGGTCAGTTTGCCTCGGCTCCCTGCAGACTCACAAAGCAAGGCTGCTGCGTGATAGCTGGCCTTTTTTTATTCTTTTTTTTGCAGATGGTAAATCTTGTAGACACAACTTTGATACCGATTTTATTTTTTATCATTTTTAAAACAATTTTAGGTCCTGTTGGTCAGACCTGCAGATTTGACCTCATTTCGCAGGCCAGAGATTCAACTAACCCAAACATCAGGTGTTCTGACGCATGTTGACATTTAGTCATGAAATAAATAAAAATGCAGGCTTTTCTCTGTGTTTTAACCGGTCAACATTGTGTTCACATCGTCCGGAGCGGTAACCATGTCCGTGTTTGTCTCTTTCTCCAGATGAAGTCAACAGAGGTGGACCAAGGGCTTTTCACAGACAGCTACTGCAAAGTGTGCAGCGCTCAGCTCATCTCTGAATCCCAGAGGGTCGCCCATTACGAGGTGAAGATGCGCCCCCCCCCCTTTGCATTACCTCACATGACTCTGATACACTCCACTCTTTTGTCAATAATGAAAGGCCTAAGTTCATGCTGTTCTGGCTCTGCCCCCCCTGAGCCCAGAGACACTTGGCTGAACTACACACCTGAGCCCTGCAGCTGACATGCTGTTATTAAAACACACCTGAGTTTACCCCGCTCTTTTTTGTCATCAGACCTCAGTCGAGAGCTGCAATAGAAATGAAGACATAATAGCATCAGAACTGACTTGATCTAAACATAATATATTCAGGTGGTATGCATGCATGCGTCATCTGTGAAACAGATGTTAAAGGTGCCACATGTGGCTTTTTTTAACAACGATAAATCATTGCCATTTACTTTTGCCATTTACATCGTGTGTCTTGGTGCAACCGATCATACAACTGACGGTTCGGATCGTAGTCACGGATCAGCACAAAAGGAAAAAGGGAGCAGATATAACTCATAGAGATCCCTGATCATGTTTTTCTTTGCCGCCGATACTAATCGTAATCATTGATGATCCACATTGGCAGATACAGACCCCTTTGTTTGATTATACAGCTGGTCTACAAGGCTCCAGACTTATTTAACTCGTTGTCCATTAGCCACGTTACTAGCTCTCTTCCTGTCAACACAGATTGCTCGTTTACAATGTAACATCAGTGATAGGTGACTAGAAAAACAAATGTCATACTTTACTGAATATTGGCGGATAACGATGTGAGTAAAACTTCATTTCACAGTCTGATGGTTAACGTTAATGTGTAATTAATCTGCGGTTCACATGTGTGCTGACCCACGAGGAGGGATCAGTACGGATCACAGATCGACAACGGTCCCTTACTCCAATAATTGTGTGATACCTTGCTGCCATAGCTCTATTGTTTTGCAAATAACCTGTTTCACAGCTCCGCTGTGAGGACGGCACTGCTGTCTGCGGTCCTGGAGGCAGAGATAGGCTGGCTGCGTGTTGAACACAGCCTCCGATCTCTGAATGTGGAGGTGGTTTTAACGTGTTCTTTTTTTTGTTGGGCTGTTTGTGTTTGACTGAGTATATTAACGTCCTTTGGTTTGTCATATCTGAAGCTTTACGTGTGCTTGATTAGCTAGCCATTACTGTTATAACGATACTCACAGGGTTGCGCTTTAGTTCGCTGATTTGCTTCAGCTGCTTCATTCATGCTTGACAAGGCCTGGCTCGCTAATGAGCTGTTCTCTACCGCTGTCCGATCTTATTTACGGGGTAGAATGTGGCAATTATAACCTCACCCACCACTGCTACTCACTACCACTCTTGTCATGGGACATAATGAGGACTCCAATGCAGACAGTAGTGAACAAAAGGGTTTTAATAACTCACGAAACAAAAACAGGTAATCCAAGGACGAGACAAGGGGGGGAAATCTGGCAGGACAAGGCAGGGCTCTCCGAGGCCGAGAGTCAAAGTCCACAACCGGGTGGGTGGAGGGGGTCCGGAGATCAGACGGGGAACAGGTCTCCAGGGGCGGCTGGAGATCAGACGGGGAACAGGTCTCCAGGGGCTGGAGATCGCTGTGGCACGGAGGCTGGAGGTCGCTGCGGCACGGAGGCGACGGCGGCTGGAGGTCGCTGCGGCACGGAGGCGACGGCGGCACGGAGGCGGCGGCGGCTGGAGGTCGCTGCGGCACGGAGGCGGCGGCGGCCGGGACTGGAGGTCGCTGCGGCACGGAGGCGGCGGCGGCCGGGACTGGAGGTCGCTGCGGCACGGAGGCGGCGGCGGCCGGGACTGGAGGCGGCTGCTGCTCGGAGACGGCGGTAGCCGGGAGCGGCTGCAGCACGGAGGCGACAGCTGGAGTCGGCCGGATCGCCGACCGGACACCGGGAGCTGGAGTCGGCCGGACCACCAACAGGACACCGGGAGCTGGAGTCGGCCGGACCACCAACAGGACACGGGGAGCTGGAGTCGGCCGGACCACCAACAGGACACGGGGAGCTGGAGTTAGCTGCGGCCCAGCGGGAGCGGGGGATCGCTGCGGCCCAGCGGGAGCGGGAGTCTGACCCTTCTTCTTCCCCTGTCTCCTTCGAGGGTTGAGCTGGTTGTCCATCAGGTCGCGGTTCGCCTTCTGGACACTCCGAGGCCCACCAAAAGCCAGGCGGGTTCCCCTGAGTGGTATGAGCAGTTCAGGGGAACCCGCCTGGCTTTTGGTGGGCCTCGGAGTGCCTCCCAACCGTGGTCTGCTGAGTCCATTGTAGGCCAGATCATTCTGTCACAGGACATAATGAGGACTCAAATGCAGACAGTAGTGAACAAAAGGGTTTTAATAACTCACGAAACAAAAACAGGTAATCCAAGGACGAGACAAGGGGGGAAATCCGGCAGGGCAAAAACAGGGCAGACGGACTGGGAAACCGGGAACAGGAAGAGCAAAATGGGCGGGTAGGTAGGAAACAAAACAATGATCTGGCAGTGAGTGAGTGAAAGACAGGGGTTTAAATAGTGACTAGAACAGGTGAGGAGAGTTGTGCTGATGAGGGAGAGTGTGACTGGCAGGTGCACTGAATGAACTGATTAGGGACAGGTGAAGGAAGTGAGGAGCTACAGAAAACCACACACAAAACACCCAAGGCAAAGCCTGATTGTGACAACTCTGCCGAAATACTAATGCCTATATACGCCGTTTGCTGCCGCGGCTCCATCCTCCACTCCAGCCTCCCCTTGTGTTCTAAGTTTGTGGGGAATTAGTTCTCTCAACAGAATCCTAATTGCTGCTTGGGTTCTTTGAGAGCTCCTTAAAAGCGCCGTTTTTTTTTCTTTCAACAAATTCACCGTTCAATAAACCTGTGACAACACCGGTGTTACCGTTTACCCCGGAGATTTTTTAGAAGAAACAATATTTGCTGGTGACGCTCGACACCTAAATTCAGAGCTCTCACACGTTGGAATGTGTGTCTGGCTTTTCTGGTCGAGTTTTTTGCTGCAGATTTGTAGTAGTGCAGTGCAGCCGGCTGCCACGCCGTGGTGCGTCTGGTGGAATAGGCGATGTTTGTGATCCCAGCTGCGCCCGGTGGAATCGCTCTCGTTGGTGTGCCCTTGCTCCTGAAGGTGTGTGTGTGTAGATTAGAGGCGCTGCCTCCAGATGCTGCCACCTTCATCAGATCAAGTTTCCACATCGCCTCGTTATCAGATCCCCCATTAGCATTGGGTTTAAATCTGAAATATTGCCAAGTAGGTGCTTTTGCTTTCTCGCCTTGACACCAAATCCCCCCCCCCCCCTTCCTCATTGTCTGGTCAGTCGACTCTCCTTCTCTCCTCACGCGTTGAGCGGAAATCGGACTCCGGCTGCTCTGTGTTGCTGTCGCGGCACAGAACCGGAGGAGGAACTTTGCGTTCATGATTGTAGCGTCCTTTGTCAGACTAAGAACATACGATCAGAGGTTCGATCCCTGGCCCTAGTGTCCTTTGGCAAGATACTGAGCCACTGCTAGTGAAAGCTGTCCCATCTGTGTGTGTGATTTGATTAGAACCTGATGTCCGGGTGTCAACTTGTACCGGTCGGAAAGGCCGAAGGTGCTATATATAAATGCAAGAGTCCAATTATCGTTTAACGTAATTAGCGGACGTCTGAGCTCTGTGTGTAAGACCGGTACCGGAGAGTACCGCGGCGAGCCTAGTATGGCACCCGGTAGAATTCTTCTTCTGGAAGGTGTGCGTGAGTCTAGAATCTCTAGATACTCTGATCAGCTGCCTCAAGGCCAGTGTGAGCAAAGCTTCCTTCCTCCTGCCCGGAGGCAGTCAGGTAGGGACCTTCCTTCTCTGCAGATGCCGCCTTTCAATCACTGTCACTCCGAGTCTGGCTGCACTCCTGCCACTGTTTGACATCTGCAGTAACAGCAGCTGAAAGGACTCATACGAACACTGGGTCCACTCTTTAGTATTGGCAGAGGATAGTTTTTTTTTTTTTTTGAGAGCAGAAGAAAATAATTTGTTGCCTCGAGTCCGTTTAGCATTTTTATTGATTTTCTATTGTTGTGCTAACAGAGAGCAGGTCGCTGCTGAGGTGAAATCTCATCAAAGGGACTTTTTTTTGGTTGCATTACATTTTTAAGTTTGCCGGAGACAGGAAGTGACCGAATCAAATATTCATTTTGTTATTGTGTGGGGAATGCTGAATGCAGCAGTTGGCCTGTTGCCTCGTGGAGATGGAGCATATATCTTCCTCCAGAGGTTGTTTTGCACTTCTAAGGAGATGATGTTTCAGTTTTATATGCATAGATTTGTCTATAATTATTCCTTTTGTGCTGTGCTTGAAGATTCACTCTCTGAAGTGTCGATTATTGAGACTGTGATATAATATAAAATATATATAAAATAGTCTTTGAATTTTATATCTGAATGATTATCAGTGGTTAGTCCAGGGATTGAGCACAGAACCAGAACAAAAAAATGAACCCATTTGTTTTGTAGTCAGAATAATGACTCAGAATAATGAATAATAATAACTCAGAATAATGAGTAGTGAAAGCCACCGTGGCTGAACAGACAGACAAGATTAAAGAGAGTACAGTACGTACAGTAAAGGCCTCAGTATGCTTCTAATGAAACGCTTGCTGGATTGTTTAACAGTTCCTGAAACCTGCTTTCAATTCTGCATATTGTTTTTGTATTTCTGTGAAACCCACCGCACATAGCGATCGGCATGGTGTGGTGAGGTGTGCACCGTTCACACCATTTCTGACAGCGTTGATATTTTGCAGAGTAAACCTTCTGTCGGTCTCCTTCAGGACGCACCGAGCTCAGCAAAGCGGGGAGTCGGGAGACGATCATAATTTCCTCCCCTGAGGAAGCTGGCCCGTAGGGCATTCTGGAGGGGAAGTGAGGCTTCTGCGTGAGCAGCAGTAGCAGTGGGTTTGAGCAGAGCTTCAGGTTAGCTGTGTGGCGGCAGATACGGCAGCAGCAGCATCACGGCCTACGTATCCCGACATCTAGTTTTGCCATGATCC